ATATAAATCTAGAAGGGTATATACTAAACCATTAAGTTAGCTATTTCTAAAAGGTGCAGTTTCATGTCTTGAGAAAAGTAGATTGTACTTCTTTATGTATGCCTATGGGATTTTAATTTCATAAGAGTGAATTAATTATAAAGAAATTCTTACATTCATGTATAGCCATAAACTTAAACAGATAAAAAAACTTTGCCTTCTGAGAAAGAAAAACAATAATTTGAGACATTCACATCTAAGGAAAAAATTCTGAATAAAAAGCATTATTTACTAAATTAATAAGACACAAATACTGCTGTTGCTTGTTGCCACCAAATCTAGTTTGACTCACAGCGACCCCACATGTGCAGAGCAGAACTGATGTCTAGGGTTTTCAAAGCCTTATGGAGCAGCTTCTAGGACTACATGCTGAGGTACCTGTGGGTGGGCTTAAAACTAGGGAGTCAAGTGCTTAATCATTTGCAGCACTCAAAGCAGCATATTCTATTTGTAGCAGTGAACTTGAACTTGGTGGAAGACATAGTCATCAGGTGTGACATTAAACTCACTAATAATATATTGAAAATATTTCAGGATAAGTGGGTATCAGTCACATGCAACAGACAGTGAGTTATATATTGTCATTGTTGGATGTCACTGAGTTGCCTGTGGCTGATGACAACCCTCTGAACAGCAGACCTGAACCCTGCTCTATCCTGTGCCATCCTCATCATCTCTGACAAACCTGTGCCCACTGCTATATAGTTCATTGTATCAATTCATCTTAATGAGGGTCTTTCTCCTACAATGTATTTCAAAGAGAACACAGATGCTTCATAAACCAAACATAACCCCATTTTAGGTTTATACTGCACACAAGCTTGAGGCTATTTTTACAACATCCTATTGTAGAGAATTCCTAAATTAACAGTAGGAATTCAGGTATCTTCCAATGAAATCCTTTTTAGAAAGGATGAATCTTTACAAAGTCTGATTCATTAGTTCAATTTTAACAGGAACAAAATACTAGAACCAGTTCACTTTCCATTAAAAAACATACATTTGAATTAAAAGGTTCATTAAATAGAAAGGCAATTAACTAGCACTTACCGGGAGTGGCTATGGATTGTTCTTCATTATAAAACAGTAATATAACAGTTCCCACTAAAAGAGTGTATGACAGAAGACCTGAAGATCACAACGTAAAGAGAAGGCAGCCTCTGTAATCGGGACCAAACCAACTAAGCCAGCTGCTGCTGGCACATGACACCTCACGTGTTAGAGAGTAGAGCTGAGCTCCACGGGGCATTCAAGGCCTTTCTGAAGCAGATGACCAGTCCTTTCCTTTGAACCACCAACCTTCAGGTTAATAGTGCAGCCTTGAAACACAGGTCAGAATAAGTTTCCATTACGGTTACCAAGGATTCTACTTACTTATTAATTGTATGCTCATACAGCGCGATGTTACAGTCATTTTCTTCATTCACATCTAAATATTCAACCAGGCTCTCATGTAAGAAGTCTTCAAAATTCCTGGGAAAATTATTGTTCAAACAGACGTTACTAAAAAGCCATCAGCCGCAGGACTGTACATGCAAGAGTGAAGGACACTGGGTATCTGTTAGGCCCACAGCACTTCTCTCTCCTAGTGTCCTCAATACACTGATGAGATGCCCAGAGCATGCTAGCGCTGGATCATAAATAAGTGACCATAAATTGTTGAGACAAAAATAATTAAGTGTCTGTGATTTTCTGTCTACCTGGTCTGCCCTCCTGAAAAATTCACACCAATCTGAACACATTTTCTATGACTTTAGAAAACTCTTTGGGATAAAGAACCACCTTGTCTACATCGACAGACTGCCAGGAAGTCTTTCTCTTACCAGAAACACTTAATCCTTAGGGTTTGACTTGGTTAAGTATTTTTACAATACTCAAGCAAGTTAATACAGAAAAGCATGTTTTAAATAGGCTGATAGGCCTGGTGAGGAGGAAGTCAGAGACTGAAAATGAAAATACAATTTTCTTAAAAGCATAGCTCAAGTAACATTACCGCTGATTAAACCATGGAAGTACTGAGGAGGTAAGTTTTGGTTTGGCCCACTCACCTGTATCCCTGGGCCAGCTCTTCCATATGCTTATTTGTTACTGCAGGCTTCTGATTCTTAACAATTATGTAAGGTCTAGAATGAGGGAGAAATCATAGCAGTTCAACATTACAGTTAAGTCAGGAAGTACATTTATGACAATGAAATGAGAGAGCGTAGAGACACAATCAAACTCATTCCAGGGCTGCTTTTAGGCACCTGGGCTTTTCTTACATGAAGTGTGTGGGCCTGTCGGCTCGCTCCCTCAGCTCAAATCCACATTAATGTGTCTATGTGTACATGTACACACCATTTCCCCCAATACTACTTGGTCTTAAAGGAAAAAGGCAACAACACAAAAATGATACCAAGTGTCCAACCACACTAGATTAAGAAATTATGGTATACTAGTGATTTTGTAAATCACTACCTAACTTGGGAGGGACTCAGTACCATAAGGACAAATACTGTAGAAAACCATTATTGTAGAAATAGTTAGCTAGTTAAACATGTATGAGGATCTAAGGTTGGGGGAAAGGGGAGGAAAAGGGTGGGGATGGGCAGGGGGTAATCATGGGGTCGCACAGTTTGATGGGTGAAGGGAAGGGTGGGTTGGGGAGGTGAGGGGCGATCCGGTGTGAGGGGCAATATATACGAATTTTGTAGGTAAACTAGTGTAAAATTGAAAAAAAAAAGTAAATTGTAAGAAATTAAAAAAGGGGGGTAAAACAATACTCAAAAAAGTCTAGAAAAAAATACAGCCTCTTTAGTATCATATTTTTTTAATATGTGTAAATGCATCACAGGAAAGCATGTCCTGATTGCATGCACATCAGGACACCTGATACACTACCTCTGGGGCTAGTAGACACACACCTCCCAGGGAACACAAATTGGTGTTTAGTAGTGGGGGTGTGGAGAATACCCATCTGAGACTAGCCTGACTGAGGATAAAGCATCCCTAGACTAGACTAGCCAGTCACCTGGGGTCACACATGACCAACGACAATGGCTCCGAGTTTGCAGAGAGCAGTGCTCTATCACTTTGCAGTTTCAGCACCGTGACGGGTGTGAGGTAGGATGAGCTTTCGATCTACAAGCTCTGTTAGATTGACCTGTAACTGTCAGCGGTGCCTGGCCCCTTACGGGCATCGCCACCCCGAGGAGACACGGACACAAAAGATGGCATGCGGCATCGAAACGTCAAGGGTGGTTGCTATTTGGATAAGTAACTCTCACCGAGAGAAGCGAGTGACCACAAGACACTTGTCCCTTCTGCCCTTAAGTCGGAATGCCCGCGTCTGATGAGCACTTTTACACAGCTGAGAAGCTGCACAGTGACCGACTGAGGGGGGACCCAGGCTGCTGGAAAGCCAGCTGGGGGACCTTTCTGCGGAAATGAGCATCCCCTCGAGATTCTGTGTCCCGGTGTGGAGCAGAGACAGTGGCCACCTCGCCCTGCGGCTGCAGCTCAGTTCAGGGTAACAGACTGTGATGTGAAGGCAGGAGGAGCACACAGAGCTCCTACTTCAGTATCCTTCACTCCATTCTTCCTACCAGCGTAAGAAGAAAACCCTTGAAAAGAACAAGCTAGAGCGTATCTGTTCTCCCGTGCCCTAGCTGGGCCACGTTAACAGTTACACATGAATGCCCAGCATGTGTCAGGCAACCAAAAAAGCACTTATGACACCTGGTTTTCAATTTGTTCCCAAGACAATCCCAGGTAATTATTACTATTTCCAGCTCACTGCCCAGAAAAACCAAGGATCATAGACTTAAGTAACAAGTCTGTGTCACAATTTGAGTGTATCAGCAGTTAAGAGTTGTTTTGTTTTTTGTTTTGTTTTTTTTTTTTTGTGGCAAAGAATTCCAGCTAGTTAAAGCAAAAAATGGAATTTACTGGGAGGATAAGAACGGGATAGTGTACAGATGTAAATAAAAAAGTGAAATGCTCAGTTTCTAAAAGTAAAGACTCTAGATCAGTCCCAAGGACCCATGTGCTACCATTGTCAGGGAGAATCAGTCCCAGCGTTTTCGTTCATGAGCAATCCTATTCAGGATTCAGTTTCTCTAAAGAAAGAGACTATGTGGCTTAGCATGGGTTGTACTTCTGAATCATGATTGAGGGGCAGGGCGTGGGGGTGTCAACACCTGACTGGCCATTTCATGAAGACTTCCAGCAAGGAGGGTCAGTTCTCAAAGGAAAACAAGTTTAAAGTTAACAGGAAGGAAAAGGGAGAGACACCAGCAGTGGCATCGAAGCCCAGCTCTCTCCAACGCTGTAGACTGCACTACCTTTGTGCTTTGCCCACCACCTGAGGTTTACCAAGAGTGTCTGTAGGGTGATAAGCGAAGGCTTGGGGAACAGGACAATACCCAGTTGATGGTGCCGCAGACCCCACGACCAGATACTACGTTGTACTGTTCATCTTCATAACCCTGGACTATAGACTGTAACTGTGCTTGGCAAGTGTTTGCTAAATGAACAGAGAGATTTTACTTTACTATTGAGCCTACACCACTGGGCCAATTGGCAGCATCAGTATGGATGGGGAAGAGATTGAGATAGTTAGCAGTTTTAGTTTACTTGGTTCCACTGCCAACACTCTTGGTAACAACAATCAGGAAATCAGGAGACGAATTGCATTGGGAAAGTCAGCTGTGAGGGGCCTCTCAAGAGTACTAAAGAGCAACAATGTCAGGCTGGAGACTAAGGTGCGCCTGATCCAGGCTACAGTCTTTGCAATTACGTGCTATGCATTGAAGAGTGGGACAGTGAATAGGGATGAAAGAAAGAACTGATGCCTTTGAGCTGGAGAAGAGTGTTGAATATACCATGGACTGCTAAAAGAACAGACAGGTTTGTCCTAGAGAGGGTGAAGCCAGAATGCTCCTTGGAGTCAAGGAATCTGAAGCTTAGTCTGACATACTTTGGGCATGTTTCAAGGAGGGACTGGTCCTTAGAGAGGGACATCATGTTTGGGAGTGTGGAGGGACAGCGCAGGTGAGGAAGACCCTCGATGAGATGGATCGATTCTGTGAGTGGAGCGGTGGGAATGAATGTGTTTGAGACAGCGAGGTTAGCACAGGATAGAGCAGCGTTTAGGGCTCTTGTACATAGGGTCGCTATGAGTTGCAAGCAACTTGATGGCACATAACAACAACAACAACATTGAGCCTAATTTTATTCCTCGTGCCTCCAAATTTTTATCCCTGCTGTTCCTCAGCTTGTCTCCTTTATATAAGTAATGTAACGCAACTTATCCTTAAATGTTCAGTTCATACAGAATACTGTGGGGAAGGGAGGAAATCACGATTGTTAGAGTCAGATGAATTCAAAGGTCTTTCAGGGAAAACTCAAATGTCACTACTATCTAGTTTTCAGACTCACTGAACCCATTTCCTCATTTGCTAGGCAAAAATAATAACTCCAATCTCCCAGAGCTGAATGCAGTTAATACTTTACGTTTAGCACATCAGTTAAACTAATAAAAAGTGGCAGTGGCCATCATTTATCACTTCCATCACTCATTATTATTTTTTGCCTCTGTGCTCTCTCTGACGGCACAGACGGTTTCCCATGAGTATCTGAATCCTCAATACCCAAAAGGCGTAGTCATAAAAGTATTTGCGAACTGAATTAAGTTTACCTTCATAATCAAAGAGGTTTAAACAGCTTCAAAAAACAGAACAACTCTGCTTGTCTCAAAAGTAAACAGCAAGATTCTTAGAAGCTCTCAACAGTACGTTACCTGCACAGCCTTCCTCCATCAGAGGAGATATAAACGCACCGATCTGTAAGATTGGTTGAGATGGAAACAAATTCGTTGATATAACCGGCTCTTCGCATCAGTCTAAATGTATTCACTAGCTTCTTATGATCTCGGATGACACCCAGGATGTTACCTAAGTGCAGGGAAGTAAGTGCATGTAAGACACAAATAAAACCATAAATCTCATCTGATTTAAAGCACCATCACAATAATAAGCAACATCGATCAGTCAATTAAAATTATTTTATGAACTGCAGGCAGTCTACAAGGCTGCAGGGAAATGAAATGGAGTGGTTAAGGGAGCCCGAGGGACAGTGTCTGAGGTCAGCCCTTCCACAGGCAGGCTGGTGACACAGGGAGGCGAGCTTTGTTTCCTCACATCCGCAGAGTGCCGGAAGGATAAAGTCAGGGTCCAGCTACTATGCTATACCGTGGGTATGAACGCCGACTCTCTCACTCCCTGGGGACACTGTGAACTGATCTATGAACACACTTAGCACTCTGCCTGCTGCTGGGAAGGGCTCCAGTGACACAGTTCCTAGGACTCTCATCTATGAAGTGAGGAAAAGGCAGGGGCAGGGAGGACTCAGAGGATTCTGAACATGCAGAAAGGCTCACGAAGCAATAGCCTGGGACACACTCCCAGCCGGAGGGAGCCTGCTCAGGACCTGTGTCTGCCCTCTTTCCATCTCACCCGCCCCATCCGCACAGCACGGCAGAACGGGGAGGAGAGAAAAGACAGTGGCTACATAGTCAGTGGTGGTCCTGGAGCACACCAGGGAGGGGACAGGCACACAGACCACCTGCCCAAAAGGGGTAACAGGGGCATGCTTGCTGCCCATGTCCCTGGAGTGCTCTGAGGGGTTGGGGGAGACACATGGTTAAGGAACACTCACGGAAGAGCCCCAGGAAAGGGGCTCCTTCGCCACAGGCTGCTGAGATTATTGATTACCAAATAGCTGAACAAAGTCAACTCACTGGAAAGGCTGATGTGATTATTTTCCTAGAATGATTCAGCCGCCTCACTTGCTTAGAAATATGCCATCCTGAGTCGCATCCCACTGGGGTATGCTAGTGTTTGCAACAGGGAATAAACAGTCCATCTTGCTATGTTACCCTTTCATTCTAATAGCCACAGGCATTCTGAAGCTAAACAAGGTCATCAATGAAATCACTGTCTCTGCTGCCAATTTTTTTTCTCTCTATGGCTAAAGGGTTAACCTGGGTCCAGAATGTATTTGTACTTCAAATAAATGGTATTCCTGGTTTCCTTTCCTCTCCTCCCCTATCATGTAAGATCAATGTGTCCCTGTAACACACTCACCATTGAGGAAGACGAGGAACACATCTGGGTAAGAAAGCTCTTCGCCACACAATAAATTCACATCTTCTACTCCCACGTTATTGGCTAATCTGATAATGGGCCCATCTTCCATGTCGGTTGTGATGTGTGTCATCAGGGCCAAGTTTTTAACCAAACCACAGGCCTGAAAAACAAAAGCATTTGAAGAATGAACTTTAGTAACATGAAGGGCAGTCTGTATCTGAAAAGAGTTCAGGCCTGTGTTGGTGGCAACACGACGTAGTACAAACTTGCAGAAGTACCTCTGGCCAGTCACACAAAAGTGCAATAAATGGGCATTCCCTGTCAGCCCATCGGTTTGAGATGAGAAACAAGAGTATAAACACAGAGCAACAAAAGTAGCCACCACGGTGCAATCTAAACATTGAGACCATCACAAACATCTACGAAAAAGCAGCTGATGATATAAATTGCTACTCCCATGTTAGAAAACACTATAAATGGCAAGGCAAGATATAACACTTTAGCAAGAGATGGGGAGCAGTTTATAGCTGGCCATCCTCAACAGTTTCTTGGTTATGAAACAGAATGAAAAACTAAGGAGATGTGACAACTGTAAGTAGTAAGATCGCCAGCCAACCAGAAAGATCTCTGTGGCATATCTAGCAAACTTTGAACAACGTATAGACATTAAAAGCCTGCTATCAGGAGCTCTGGTGGCCTCGTGGCATGAAGCTGTGCTGCAATCCCAAAGGCGCTGGGTTCGAATCCACCAGACACTCCACAGGAAAAGGATGGGTAACATCCTCCCACAGGATTAACTGCCTCTGAAAACCCACTAGCGGGTCAGCTATGGGTCAGTTCTGACTCAAAGGTACTCAAGCCTGTTTCGTACAAGGTTAATAAGTCTACACATGTTGGAAATAAGGTGAAGATTTTGAAAAGTTCTTTTTAACACTTTTTGTAACTTTTTATATATCTAGAATTATTTTTTAAAAAAACCAAAACACCCAGAAGATACTTTTTAGGCTATTAGACAATAAAAAATAAAAAAAATCTAAACCAAGAACAAATTTTTTTTAAACATTTATAACATGTCTAACAGTAAAAGATTACAGTCTCAATTTTTAAAAATTACTTGCCACAATAACACACAAAGAAGGCACTTTTATTAGAGTTAGCTGAGGGACTCTCTGGGAATCTGAGCACTGCAAAGTCTGAAAGGTATAAATTGAGCTAATCTGAGTAGAGGCATCATTTTCAATGTGAATTTTCAAATGGTTTAACCTAAACTCTCTTTCTCTCTCCTTGCCTTTGAGGCTGAACTGACTCAGAATTGACCTTCCAGCAGGCTTTAGAGAGCTGTCAATTGCAGAGGAGGAGATTGCCCATCTTTTCCCCCCAAAAGCCACTGGTGGATGTGAGCAACTACAGGGACACTACCTTCGGCATTTGCAGAGCAAAACCTAAGGATGACGCCACCAGAACTCCCTTACGATAAACTAGGAGGAAAGAATCATTTCTAAGACCCACAACTCTGAATGGACCTCTGCTTTCACCTCTTCCAAGTTATAGCATTCCTGCATTCTAGAATCTGCAACTTGATTCAGTCAGTCAGTGTACATACACAAGACTGGTCTTACGAATGAGGCTCTGTGCAAGGTGCTAAGCATACAACAGTGTCCCTAATAAGCTTTCTTCTTCCAGAAGTTTATAGTTTAGAAGGACTGAAAACAAGTGGAACCCACAATGGTTAACACTGAAGTGAGAGGGCCACAACCTACAAAGCTGTGAGTGCTTTAGAAATAAACCTATTGAAACTCTGCGGCTTAGAGTTCAGGTAACTACTTGTGTCTCAGGCTGAGATGGGTGACTCCACTTAGGTCCTAAACTGGGCACTTCTAACTGGCTTCAAGTGTTTCTGTGATTTCCTCTAAGTATGAATGAAGCTGAGAGGCTGGTCAAAGAAGCCCTTTCCTTCAACAAGGATGGGTCTGTTAATTTTCCTTTATATTCGCATCGCCTCTCCACTGCTTGGCTTGATTCTTGGCCTGAAGCAAAGCAAGCAGAGAAATGTGGACCATGCTTCTACTCTGGTACCTTGTCCATAGTACTAGCCTTAGAGCAATACTGATGCACCAATACTTCTCTGTATTTACCCAACAAGATGCGCCAATACTTTTCAATCAGAACAGTGGCTGACCACCAAAGGCCAAGTCCTGGGCTTGTGGGAGTAGACACAATGAGTGGGACCTCTGATCTCGCCCAGGGCCACCTCAGGTTACTCACCTCGCCCTCAGGAGTGTCCGAAGGACAGAGCATTCCCCACTGAGACGGCTGGAGGGATCGCGGACCACTCACTTTTCTTGTCTTTTCAAACTGGGAAGAGATCCTGGTCATCATGCCCAGTGCGGAGATGTATGACAAGCGAGACAGCACTTGAGTGACACCTTGACGATCCATCTTAAATCTTTTTAGAGACCAATTTCCCTGAAAAAGAGAAAAAAAAAGCCTTAAGACTATGCCTCATCTATCAAAGAGTTTTCTGATGTTTTGTAGTCATTCTTGAGAAGTTTATCATAGAAACTGCTTATTTATGAGATTACGAGTCCTAATTATTTAATATTGTTGCTGTTAAGTGCCGTTGAGTTGAACACGATACACAGCAACTCTACGACCAAAAGACCTGAACCTTGTTCCATAACTGTCATCGTTTCTCTATGTTCATAGAGTTTCCAGAGGCATGTGGTTTAGGAAGTGGATGCCACTGTTTCCAAGCCTGTCTCAATCTGGAAGCTCCACCAAACACTGCCCACCCTGGGTAACCACTATGGCATTTGACACACCAGGGGCACAGCGTTAAGTGTCATAGCAACCCCAAGTTACCTCAGTAGAGCAAACTGATAGAACAGTGCTGTACCACTTAGAAGAGTATTTATCCTGAGCACAATTAACACCAGGCCTGAGTATATAAAAAGATGTAAGTAAATGCCATCATACTTCACACAACTCTATATTCTTCAAAATACAGGGATGTACCATTACAATTTTTTCCGTATATATATTATACTTCAACAAACTCAATAAAAAGGAAAAAAATTAAAATTTAGTCTATATGTACTATTCATCCCACTTCTAGAGGTTTTAAAGAAATGTAATATACATTACATATCAGGTCACAATGACTGAGAACGGATTCAACAGCACACAAGCACAGCTAAGTCTAGCAACTATCTAAAGGAGCCCTAGTGGCACAAATGGTTAAGGGCTCAACTGCTAACTGAAAGGCTGGCAGTTCAGACCTACCTAGTGCTTCCATAAGAGAAAGACCTGGCAAGCTGCTCCCTAAAGACGACAGCCCGGGATCCTAAGGGACAGTTCTGTCATCAGGTCACTTACTATGTGTCAAAATCCACTTAATGGTAGATGACAATTATATCTATAACATGTCAACACAGGAAGAGCTTTTCACTGGTAACTAATAACACAGAAGGTACAACTAAGGTAAAATGATCAGAAAGACCATCTGATGGGCTCTCTCTCACTGCTGCCAAGTCAGAACTGATCACAGCTGACCCTCCAGCGAGGGCTGGTTTCCAAAGCTGTAAACCACATGACAGGAAACTGCTCATCTTTCTCCTGAAGAGCGTCTGATCTATTTAAACCACCAGAGAAGGCCAGCCTTTGGGTAAATAGCAAAACTCTCTATGGCGAGTTCCAGAGAGCTCACCACGTCACCAGAGCTCCCTTATCTTACGCTAGAATGCGCCATTGTGATATCTTCCACAGTTAATTATAATCTGAGAAAAATGTAACAGTAGAAAAATGACTAATGGCAGTCATTAGAGATAATGAATAAACGGTAGGCTTCTTAATTAAGGCTCAAAAAATCTAAAGATGATATATATTTATATATTCATGTTGAGAAATGCTCTGTGGCTAACATGACAATTTTAAAATAGGTTCATATGAAATAAATCTTGAGCATTAAATGTACTTTAGCTTTAAATGTACTTTACCTCATATTCATTTAATATATAATAAACTGCATATCTAGTGTGACAGACATACATTAATTTTATATATATTACATAAAATATTCGTTCATGATACCAGTAAAAAAAAAAATAGTATGTAGAGACAAAGTAAAAAGCTGAAAATAAAATGTCAAAAAAAATAGATGACTCAGTTATCTTTCTGATTTCAAAGGGAATAATTCACATCTGCTTCATACAACTCTCATTGTTCTCTTATTTATTTTTCCCCCTTGTTCTTTTGTGAATCTGATGTAAGTTATGGCTGTTCTCCAGAAAAAAAGGGACACAGAGCCATTAGCACAACTTATGAACTATGCTTCAGGAGAGGATTCATGAGTCTCAGGTTAAAATCCCATGTACAAGGAAACACGGCTAGAGTTTTTGATGAAACTAGGTAATCTGCTTGAATGAAAATATGTGACTTTGAGGAGGCTCCCTTCCAAATTAAAGCCTGATCATTATTACAAATAAATACCGATCACTTCGAAACCCTGAGTTTTTGAGAACTTGCAACAAAAGAGCACAATTGTATGAAGTAATTATCCATTACAAAGCAAAGAAACAGAGTCAACACCTATATATTCACCCTGATTAATTTCTGCCTATACTGCTTATTCATTTTACTCCCATGCTCAGAATGAATCTAATAAACTGACTAATGCCCAAAGCATAAGACTTAAGTGCAGTAAAGTAAAGTAAACAGTTAGCAACGAGCAAAAATATAGCAGCAGTTGGCTGGCAAGTAAGAAGCAGACGAGCACAGAAGCCAAAATGTCAGCAAGAGCGTTTGTTCTAGCTCTCTGCAAAGGTATAAGAAACCTGAGGGGAGAACCAGCACAGGGACGCCTGGCTTGGTCAAAGTATTCCATGAATACCAACCCTCACAGAACTGTAAAGGCTGACCGTGTTCCAGTCAGTCGCCTGTGTGTTCACAACAGGGCTCACTACTGATTTTCTAATAAACTAACCTTCCTGGGAAGGGAGACCAGGCCAGATGGAGGCAAAAGAATGACTCAAAACAGCTCTTCTGACCTGAAAATCATGGCTCAGAAAAATCTGTGGAGTCAGAGGAGAACTAGGAAGACCATTCTAAAAGAAGAGTTCAAGTGCTCTTTGGAGAATTTGCTCGAATAATCTACATTCAGAGAAGTCAGAGGATGCTACCTTCAGGTAGAGATCTAGCTTCAGAAAAATTATAGAGTCACAAGAAGTTAACCAGGCTTAACAAGGCCTATAATGGCTCGGTTTTACCTCAAGTATAAATGCCAACTGTCACTTCCAAGGCTACTCACATCGACCCACTATACATTTCTAATGACAAGTTTGGCAGCAAATCTGCCACTAATTCTTTCATTGTCAGGGGAACTGATGTGTTACACAACATTGTTCTTTTGTTGGGGCAAAATGCGATCCATATAACTAATTTTATGGCAGGCATACAAAAAGTGAGCCAGACTCCATCAGATAGACTTATAGTTGCCATGCTTTTTTAAAAAGGGAGCCAAACCTATCTGATAACCCTGTATGAATAGCCAGAGCCTGAATGCTCAGCAGCTGCCCGCACTGAATTCATGTCTCACAGGAGGAACAGCTGACCGCCCTTTGAAGAATACAAACCTACAGCAAAATGAAACAATTCTATTACTTTGAACAAAAGTTGCTAGTTTGATAAAACCTGTTTGCTAGATCTCCATTCTGTTACAGGAAAAAGGGAGGAAGGCATCCATTTAAAAAAAAATAGCTTTAAGGGGTCAAATGAAAAGATTTCTTCTGTGCAAGAGGATGTGTTTGCTTATTGCCTAATCTGGGCCATGAAGTGATTAGAAATAACAAAATTCCTACAGACTGACATGTCAACTGTGAACTTCCTTTTCCAAGTAGAAAGCCTGTGATTCACAAATGTCCTTTTTAAAGCCATGTGTCTTTTTCACCTAAATTCCTGAAGCACGTGAGAGCCCTACTGCGGGAGGGCTTTCTGATAAGGAGGACCCCAGGCCGCAGGGGCCAGCACTCACAGTGGAGATGGCGTAGACCATGCCGTTGGTGATCTGGTCCTGTCGCATGTGCTTCACCACATCAAACTGGGCTGCTCTCTGCTTTGGAATCACCTGGTCTGCAATCTTCTTCAGTTCAGAATTAAATTTTTTGAATAAATCTTCAAATAGGAGAGATAAAAGCTACAAACGAGAAGGGGATAAAAAAAAGTACATATGATGAAATTCCAAATAGTATTACTGGGATCTTGTAATAAACTTTTGGCCATGATTTATGCTTCACTAAAGAGATGAAGAAATTATTTGCTTAAAACTGAAAATGACTAAAATCTCATTACAAAATTCAATATAATGCTTCATCATTTCTGACATTAAACAAAAATCAAACTGTCTGTTGTAGATTCAATTCCAACTTATTGACCCCCGTAGGACAGAGCAGAATCATCCTACAGAGTTCCCAAGGCTGCAAAATATTCTACAGCTAATAGATTTGAACAGCTGACCTTTTGGTTAGCTGCTGAGCATTTAACCACTATCCCTCCAAGATTCCATTATGTGGTTAGGTCTTGGAAATAACATCAAACATGAGGTTGTACTCTCTCCATTCAAAGACAGTTAAGTCAAAACCATCATTCTCAGACTTTTATATTTTACCAACAAGCAACCTAACTTTTCAATTTAAAAATAAAGATAATAAAATCAAATAACAAAAAAGGAAGAGGAGATTATTTTTTGCATGTTTTTTTAAATATTTTTTTTTTATAGTTTTAATGAGCATTTACAGAGAATGTGGATTTCCATTCATTCACTGCTGCACTTCTCTACCCGCCCAGTCCTCTCCCCCCGCCCCCAGTTCGCTCCTCTCTTTCAAAAGTAAAATAAACACTCCCTCCCCTGGTACACAATCCCCCCGCACCCCTCCCACCGCCCCAAGTACATTCCACTCTGCAACCTTAATTGTGGACTCTTGAGATAACCGTAATACCCTATCATACATCGCTTTTAAATTATTCACTCCCTCATCTATTTCAGTGCAGTATACACAATTTATCCAGTTTTTCTCAGTCTTACCCCAACCCTGATATCAGTCCCATTTTACGGCAGTGGCACCATGCAATATTTGTCCTTTTGCGACTGAGATATTGCACTCAGCATAATGTCCTCCAGGCTCAACCATTTTGAATAATATTGCATGAGTTCCTTGTTTTTCAATGCAGCGTATTATTCCATTGTGTGAATATACCACAGCTTCTCTGTCCATTCGTTTGTTGATGGGTTGTTTCCAACTCCTTGCTATTGTGAACAGAGCTGCGATAAACATGGTTGTGCATATATCTGCTTGGATGTCAGTTATAGTCTCTTTGGGATATATTCCCAGTAGTGGAATTTCTGGGTCAAATGGTATCTCTATTTGTAACTTTTTGAGAAAGCGCCATACTGCTTTCCACAGTGGTTGCACCATTTTACATTCCCACCAACGGTGAATAAGGGTTCCAGTTTCTCCACAACCTCACCAGCATTTGTTGCTAGCTGTTCTGTTAAATTTTGCTATTCTGACTGGGGTGAGATGATATCTCATAGTTGTTTTGGAAGAGGAGATTATTATTTAAAAGTACACCACCACCAAGGATACATGCCATTTGAACTTTCCTGCATCACAGTCAAAATGTAAAGTTTATACACTACTGAGAAAAATTTGCTATCATCCCTACATTCTCTTATCTCCACAAACCCTCTAGTAGGTAGAATGCCTTTGAAGCTTCTCTGACATCAGCGTGCATCCCAGTCATTCAGAAGGACTATTAGAGCATGATCATCGGAGCCTCAATCCAAGAACTTTTGATGCAGCAGTTTTACAGCAGACCAAGACCTGATGTGTCTAACAAGTTCCCCAAAGAATTCTCATGCTGCCGATCAAAGGATTCTACTTGGAGAGCGACTGTCCTTCAGAAAAGTGCACTTATGTATACAAGATACACATGTGAGATGTTGACAGTGGTATTATTTATAATAGCTAAATATTAACAATAGGCAAAAAATCTTGGATGATAGTAAAAACACTGAAGGAAAGAGAGTAGAGAAAAAAATATAATCCTATTTATATATGATTAAAAAATAATACAACTATATTGCTTGGAAAGGTATAAAACTTAAAAAAAAAAAGCAAGGATGTGGATACCATAAAAATCAGCATAGTGATTACACCATGGAGGGGAAGAGTTATGACTGGCTAGGTAAAAGATATGTTCTGCTGGTAAAATCTGCTGCAAGGGCACCTAAAAGTGTGAAAGAGCAATGATGCCAGTTTAAAGACCAAGGTGTGCCTGATCCATGTCATGGTATTTTCAATTTCTTCTTATGCACCTCAAAGTTAGATAATGACTAAGGATCACAGAAGAGCTGATGTCTCTGCATTGTGGTGGTGGAGAAGAGTACTCAGTATCTCATGGACCATCAAAAGAATAAAAAGTCTGTCTTGGAGGGAGTGCAAATAGGGTGCCCCTCAAAGAAAGGATGGTGAAGCTTTGACTCACGTAATTTTGGGCATGTTATCAGGTAGGCCAGTGGGCAGCACCATCATAGACAGAGAAGAGAAGATTGAGTTTGTTCACAATTACTGCTTGCTTGGCTCCATAATCAACACTCTTGGCACCAGCAGTAAGGAAATCAAAGGATGAATTGCATTGGGAAAGTCTGCTGTCCGGGACCTCTCCAGAGTACCGAGAAGCAATGATGTCAGTCTAGAGACTACAGTGTGACCAATTCAGGCCATGGTCCTTGCAAATACTTGCTATGCATCAGAGAGCTGGACAATGACTCTTGGCTTGCCTCTTCCAAGACTGGTTTGTTTCTTCTTCTGGCCATTTAACATATGCAGTGTTCTTCACCATGATTCAAAGGCATCAACTGTTTTTCAGTCTTTCTTACCCATTGTACAGCCTTTGTATCCATATGATATGAATGAAAACACCTTCACTACCACTTAAGATGTAAAAAGTCACAAGACAATAGCGTGCACGTGTGTGCGCGCACACACACACACACACATGGATACATGATACACAAAATTGTGAATTTCTTAAGCTTTTTGTTGAAGGAACCAGGTTGAACAGAATTCAAAGTGGGAACAAGTCTCTCCAAGGACAATACCAACTATTTCACCTTTCACCAAACATGAGAAGGAAAGACTGTGGCTATAAAAGTGAATGAGAAAAGGAGCTCTGGTGGCCTAGTGGCAAGAAGCTATGCTGCAATCCTGAACGCGTGTGGTTCGAATCCACCAGATGCTTTGCTGGAGAAGGAGGAGCAATCTCCTCCGGTGCCAGTCGGATCCTATTCAACAGCACACAACAAGTTAAAAAAAAAAAAAAAAAAGAACCAAATGAGAACAAATCAGTTAAAATTGTAAGGATCTCTTAAAGGCCGAGGTGGGCTCTGATAAGTGGGCAGAATTCACAAGGCCCCAGATACAAGGGGAATTCCCCATTCAAGAGGGGTGTGTATTCACTCATAGCAGGGAACACAGACAACGAAGCCTAGTGTGTGTGTATTTCCCTGGACTTTGTGTCGTATAAAGCAAAAAACTTTCAGTTGCTGGAAAAAGTCAGAGAAGTCGCCTGCCTAGGGTGCTAGGCAAAGGTAACCTAAATTAAGAGAGAGGCAGGAGTAAAGGGTGTATCCCTAATGTGGAAGAGGAAAGGCCCTCGGTTCCCACCAGAAGCCTGGTACCTAGTGGCAAGCGACAGCAGTCTCCTGCTGGAGGAAGGCCAGTATATCCTCTGGCCACTGATTCCAGCAACAGCTCCAATGCCAAAGGGAAGGGGAATAGAAGCAAAAGCCATCTGTCCCGGGGGGAGGAGCAGGAAACCTGCTCGGGCCAAGGATCCTGCCGCTGGCCACCAGTGAGGGAAGGACAGGAAGTGGAAAGTTTTCCTCTAGACAATCAGGGACAAGAGAGACTGAGAGAATGCCCACTCTCACCACTCCTATTCAACACTGCACTGAGGATA